ATCAAATCCACAAGAAGAATTAGAGACTGCAATACTTTTCTCTCAGTAATTAACAGAACAAAATCAGTTGGTAAAATTAGTATTTAAAATAAGTATATAAAAAATCTGAAAAAACAACCTCAAAAAACTTGATGTAATTTATAGAACACTGTGCCGAACAACAGCAAAATACAGTCCTTTTCAAGTACACAGGAAATATCCAACAAGTCAGAACATATGCAGAATGATAAAACAAAACAATTTTAAAAAACCAAAATCATAGAAAATATGTGTTTAGACCATAACTGGACTAAGCTAGAAATTGGTTACAGAAAGTTATCTAAAATAGTCCTAATATTTGTAACATAACTAACATACTTTTAAATAAACCATGCATCAAAGAGGAAGTAAAAAGGAAACTAGTTTTTAATAGAATGACAACATAATAATTTTGGTTGCAGATAAAAGTCAATGATATTTTTACATACTAGCAAGCAGCAGTTTCAAATTGAAAGTTATAAAAGTATTGTTTACAATAGAATCCAAAAAAAGGAAATATTTAGATATAAATCTAACATAATGTCTACGAGACCTTTATGCTAGAAACTACAAAATAAAACACACAGACAAAATCCAAGTACTAAATAAAGCAATATACCATGTTCATGAATTAAAAAACAAAAATTATTAACATGTCATTCTTTCCAAATTGATCTACGGATTCAATATAATTCCAATCAAATTCCCAGCATAATTTTTTAATCAAAAGCATATTCTAAAGCTTATATGTAAAACTGAATAAATTAGAAGAGTCAAAACAATTTTTTTTAATTTATTTGACAGAGAGAGAGAGAGAGAGAAAGAGATCACAAGTAGGCAGAGAGGCAGGCAGAGAGAGGGGGAAGCAGGCTCACCACTGAGCAGAGAGCCTGATGCAGGGCTCGATCCCAGGACCCTGAGATCATGACCCAAGCTGAAAGCAGAGGCTTAACCCACTGAGCCACCCAGGTGCCCCCAATTTTTTAAATAATAAAGTTGTGGGGCTCACACTACTTGATTTCAAGAACTATTATACAGCTATAAGAATCAAGACAGTGTGATACTGAAGAATACAAATATAGATTAATGGAAAAATACAGAGTCTAGCAATAGACCACACATATATAGGTAATGTATATCTGACAAAGATACCAAAGCACATAATGGAAAAAGGGTAGTAATTTCTACCAAATGAGGTAGGAAAAGATTGAACATAGATATTGAGGGTGGGAGGGAAACACCTTACATCATATAAAAAAATTACCTCAAAATGGATCAAAATGGATACCAAAATGGATAGCCCTAAATGTAAAATCTGTAACTCTAAAATTTCTAGAATCAAACGAGAAAAAATCTTTGTGATCCCAGGCTATATGAATATTTCTTAGATATGATAACAAAAGTACAATTCTTTTAAAAAATTGATGAGTTGGATTTTGAGTAATTAAGGATCTGTTTTTTGCGAGACACTGTTAAAAGAATGAAAAGACAAGCCACAAAACTAGAAGAAAATATTTGCAAATCATAGACCAATAGAAAAGACCACAAAAAAGTAACTCAAACTCAGAATAGAAACGTAACTTCAAATCTCAAAAATTTAAAAGACGATTCAAAGGAAGTGGAGATGCAACATGGGGGGTTAAGGGGGTAGGAGAAGAATAAATGAAACAAGATGGGTTCAGGAGGGAGACAAACCATAAGTGACTCTTAATCTCACAAAACAAACTGAGGGTTGCTGGGGGGAGGGGGGTTGGGAGAGGGGGGTGGGGTTATGGACATTGGGGAGGGTATGTGCTATGGTGAGTGCTGTGAAGTGTGTAAACCTGGTGATTCACAGACCTGTACCCCTGGGGATAAAAATATATTATATGTTTATAAAAAATAAAATTTAAAAAAAAAAGCTTCTAATTTCCTTGATGTGTTTTACTGTATCTCTACTTTCTATCTCATTGATCTCTGTTCTAATCTTGATTATTTCCCTTCTTGTATGTGAGGCTGGCTTAATTTGTTGTTAATTCTCCAGTTCTCTAGGGTATAAAGAGAGCTGGTAACAGTGTGGAGATTCCTTAAGAAATTGAAAATAGAGCTACCTTATGACCCTGTAATTGCACTACTGGGTATTTACCCCAAAGATACAGATGTAGTGAAAAGAAGGGCCATCTGTACCCCAATATTCATAGCAGCAATGGCCATAGTTGCCAAACTGTGGAAAGAATCAAGATGCCCTTCAACAGACAAATGGATAAAGAAGATGTGGTCCATATACACTATGGAGTATTATGCCTCTATCAGAAAGGATGAATACCCAACTTTTGTAGCAACATGGATGGGACTGGAAGAGATTATGCTGAGTGAAATAAGCAAAACAGAGAGAGTCAATTATCATATGGTTTCACTTACTTGTGGAGCATAAGGAATAACATGGAGGACATTGAGAGATGGAGAGAAGTGAGTTGGGGGAAAATGGACGGGGAGACAAACCTTGAGAGCCTGTGGACTGTACTCTGAAAAACAAACTGAGGGTTTTGGAGGCGACAGGGGGTGAGGGGTTGGGTGAGCCTGGTGGTGGGTATTATGGAGGGCACGTATTGCATGGAGCACTGGGTGCGGTGCATAAACAATGAATTTTGGAACATTAAAATAAATTAAATTTTAAAAAATTTATAATAACATTAATGCAAAGTCCTGATGAGGATATGAATGATCAAAAATCTCATACATTACTCTGAGGAATGCAAAATGGTTCTTCAGAAAACTTTTTTTTAATAAATTTATACCTATACCTCCCATATGACCCAGCAATCCCACTCCATGTATTTACTAGTTGAAGTGAAAACTAACATTTACACCGAAGCCTGTTTTGCAAATGTTTATAGCAGCTTTATTTACATTGCTAAAACACGGAAACAGCCCAAGTATTCCTCAATTGATGAACAGATCAACAAACTATGGTACATTCATGCCACGGAATACTACTCAGCAATTAAAAGCAAAACAAAACAGTGAACTACTGAAACACACAACAACACGGATAAATCTTAAATGCATTACTGTAAGTGAATTATAAAAGAAGCCAGACTCAAAAGGCTACCATCTGCGTATTTCCATTTATATAGCATTCCGGAAAAGACAAAATGATAGAGAGAAAATAGACCAGCAATTGCCAGGAGCTGGAGGTAGAGAAGAGAAATGAGTACAAAGGGACCTGGGGGAGTTTTTTGAGGTGATGGAACTATTTATACCTCGATCGTGGCAGTGGTTACAAGACTGTGTTAAAACCCACAGAACTGTATACTAACGGGAATGAATTTTATCACACGTAAATTATACCTTGAAAATGGGGGAGAAAAAAAGAGAAAGAATATGTAAAAATTCTAGAATAAGACACCCTGAGCTGTGCCTTTTTCTAAATATGGATCTTGGGAATATTCTCAAACATTCTAAGCATCAGTCTTCTCAACTGTGAGGTGAGAAGAATAGTAGTATCTGCCTCTTAGAGTTGTTAGCTTTCTTTGTTGCTGTTTCATCATTAATTATTATTTGAAGTACTGCTATATACCTAACATTGTGCTTGATGTTAAGGATACAAAAATTAATCTATGGTATGGCCCCTGACTTCCAAGAGGCTACAATCTAGTGAATAAACTTCCCCTGAATAAACAAATGAACACAGTTGTTTTACTGTCATTGGATTAGCACAACAATTTAAAAAATTTTAAAAACCCAGTATTAAGCAAATATTAAACCAATTTCATGTTACTAATTTTAGATATAGTTCAACTTTAGCAAGAATTTTCTAAAATAGGAATAAAAATTTCAAGTCAAATCTAAAAAATCCTATTGGTTGCCCAGATATTTCTAGAATTATCTCTACAGATAATTTGTAAAGACTTGAAATTGCATGTATTTATAAGTTTATCAGATTCAGAAAGAATATCAGCCTACCCTGTTTTTACCAATTTATTCTAGCATTTCAACATTAATTTAAATAAGAGTACCAAGAAAGTACTATAAAAAGAAAATGAAATCATGTTTCCTCATTTTCTAAGGCTTCATGTATCTGGATGAAATGTTTCCCTAAAAAGATAAAGCTAAGAGGAATCACTGAAAATGGATGAAGAGGCTGTGAAGTATCCCAGAAAAGTCTGTTCCCTCCAAAAAGAAAAGAATTAATGGCTTCAACTTTGTCACATAAAAGATCCAATAATCTTGGTGAAAGATGCTTTACAACCACACATCACATACACACATCCAGCACCTTTCTTGGTGTATCAGCACCTGTGTCCCCTCAACCAAATTCAATGTCCTTGGTTCAGGCTTGAGCATTAGAATCCTAAAAAATTCATGCCAGGACATACTACAGCTACTTTTACAGAGTTGATTACATTTTTACTATATTCAAGATATCTGACAGGATAAAGCTCTAAAGACAGTTTGTTTTAAATGTGTCCTTTCCACTCAAGGCTTAAAGAAAATCAAGCTATTCTTATTTCAAAGATTTCCTATCTACTGTCATCTCACATCACGTCTCAGTGAAACACTGTGAAAAGTGTTCTTGGAGTGTTATCAACTAAAAATTTTGCAACAAGTATGGCTTTTTGCACAGGATTTCACACTGAATAATATAGTAACATCTAGAGACTCCTAACCTAGTGAAAAAAAGAGAACATTTTAAAAGATATTTTAAAAAGCATGACATATGCACAAGGGCTTCTCAAACAGAACATACAGACTTGTTTTCACCATTTTTCTTGCTCTGAACAATTGTTCTGAAATATGGGGCCCACAAATGTGGATCTCCCAAAGTTTTGTATGTTGAAAATATTCCTAGGGAGTACATCTCTCAATAAGAAGCTAGTATGTGGAAAGGTATAAGGAGAGAAAAAAAAAAAAACTTCATATGATAACTAAAATAAAAAAATATATAATTAATAGAAATGTCCCTTGGAAGAACCCAGAGAAATGATCACTGGCTACTTTACCTTGCCTTTTTCCATTAACATTTTCTAAAATACCAGAGAGCTGGTTGTCAAAGCTGTGTTGAAGGTCACTCCTTTGCTTTTCAAGGTGATGTTCTTCCTCAGCAATAGAAGAAAGCACACGTGGTAGCTTTTGGTCATCAAGGGTCTGATTGGGCCACTGGGACATTATGGAACATGAGTCCTTTGCATGTTGCCTAAGTCTGGGGCTTGAACTTTGGGCAGAGTCCTGCAAATCACTATTACAACAGGAGAAATGATCCACTTCAAGAAACAAGGGATTTGCATCCTCTTGACGCCAATCATTGCCTTGTTCTTCATCTTCAAAGGAAGCTTCCTGAAAAGGAATATCATCTAAGTCCTGGTCTAGCTTGTCACTCAATTTAGAGTCTTGTTTGCTTACGTTAACCAGCGAAGCAGATAGCACATCTCCTGCTTGCTGGAGAGCTTCATAAACCCGAGATATCCAGGAAGAGAGAGGCTGGAAGAAGTTCTGAGCATCCTGAGACGCCATGGCCAAAACCATGGCCAGCCAACTGATGTCTACCAGTCCACTTGTTCAGCTCCTTAAGTACTCTGGACTTAATGTGAACTACAGAATAAGCATGATCATAAACTAAATTGGAGGTCTCTTAATGGCTGTGAATAGTTCACTCTCAAAACTTCTCAGCTGAAACAGAGGAAAGAGATACTTATACCTGTTCCAGTAACAACCTCAGACCCATTACCAGATACCTATAATCCATGTCAAACAACATTCAGGATAAAAAGAGATCACCATTGAAATCTGAAAGTAGCTAAATAAAAATTACTGTGAAAGTCTAAATGTAGATTACTTCAATGCCTATTCACCTGCTCAGGCATGTGCAAAACTTCCATTGGCAGTAATGGGCTCTATTCATGTGGACTGAGAGAAGTCTATCCCCACAGACCATATTTAACAGTGTGAAAAGGATAAATGAATCTTCATTAAGAGGCAGTTGGATATGACATTTCAAAATACAAGGAAGGTTGGATGCTTCATCTACAAACCTGCAGATCCCAGTGAGTAGGTTAATAATCATCTCTGCTTCATGACACAAAGATTTATCCTTTCAAAGGAAATGTGTGCCTGGAATTAAAAAGCTTTTAGCAGATCTTAAAGTAAGATTTTATATTTTTATGCAATTTCTACAAATCATATCTATTCTTGGGGAGCAAAGAACCACAGAAAAACAGAGCGGCAAATGGAATATGCAGCTTACTGGAGACATGACCCTAGCATCTTGTTGCCTTTGATTGTGTTCCAATCTCCTGATGGCAGTCCTCCACAACCTAGAAGACTCCTAAGAGACCCTCCTTCTCCCAAGATTCACAACTTGAAGGAGGCAGCTATAGAGCAACAGAGCACAATAAACATTCTAGAGCTGAACATCTATACTTTTATACATATACACGTATACAAATATAGACATATATGCATTTGCATTTGTATGTGTATTGTATGTGAGTGTGAAGATTATATATATATATATATATATATATATAAATGACCAGATTTATATATATATATATATATTTATATTATATATATATATATATATATATATATATATATGTATCTTATTGCCCTTACAATGCTCATCAACAGCTCAGGATGAATGCTATAAATGACCAGAGCCTAAATTCACTGCTTGCACTTAACTACCCCACCTCTTTATAGCAATAGCTTCCTTCTGACTCAGTCTACCACACTCCTATATGTTTCAGCCTTCGTGTTCTCCAGCGACTGCAATTGATAGGACTGCCTACATTTTCCTAAAAACTTCTTCTTAGCTTTTTCAGGGGGCTTTTTAATAACCATTCATATATACGTTGATTCATCAATAAACAAATATTGATAAATGCCTATTAAGTGCTGGGCACAATGCCAGTGTAAGGCAACCCTGAGCTCTGTCCCTGTGGAGCCCACATCCAATTAAAGGGAAACTGAGGTCTCTGCACTTTCCCTTTATGCTAAATAATTTACGTGGCTGTCTTTCAGGCTCTTCCTTGTCTTCCCACCAACTGCATATATGCAACCACTCATTGTCCTATGGTTACTCCTCCTGCTCCTTCATACTCATCAGCTGGGACAGCTGACCCACCCATAAGTCTCAATACTTTTTTTAACCCCAAAATATATATCTCCAGCCCATAGTTCAATCCCTTTATATAACTTGGATTTCCGGTTATTTAAGCTAGTGGTTCAAAACTTTGTATGAAAATCATCTGGTAAGCTAACAAAAAACCAAACAAAAAAACAAACAAACAAAAAACAGAGGCTCAGGTGGGTTGAAGGAATATGACTGCATCCTTTCATTTTTGTCCAGTTCCTCAGATGACTCTGACACACACCAAAGTTTGAGAAGTACTGATCTAAGAAAATAGCTACACTTGAGTGTCTCACCAAAATCTCAAATTCAGCCATCAAAACTTAGCACATCACTTTTACTACTGCAAGTGTTCAACACTCAAGACTCACAATTGTGATTTTCTCTCTTCACCCTTGCTCCCTTCTATTCCTTCCATTCTAAGTTCTGCTATTTTTAGGGCTATGCAGACTCTTCTGTTGTGTTTTGTACTGTATAATCACCTCTCCAACACTCTCATTTCCCCAGAAATTACACACCTAGCCGGTTCCAATCTCAAGTTTCCCCCAGCTTCAATACATTCTCTAGGTTTGCTCATCAGAACCTGATCTTCTAGTAGGTTTATTGCCTATCTCCTTCCCTAGAATAGACGTTCCTGGAGGGCAGGAATTCTGTTTTATTCTCAAGCTTATCCACAGTGCCTAGAAGTATGCTAAATATCTACTCAATTCTCAATAAGTGAATTAATGAGTGCTGTTTAATATTGTGCATAGAATAGTGTCTAGCATATAGTGTGTACTCAAATTCGCTAAATTGATAAATAGACCTCAGAATTGTTAAAAGACATCTTAACGTGACCACATAAAGCCCCTGTTTAGTAATATTAAAGTGTTCTTTCAGCATTTCTTCCACTCCATTTCATCACCCATGGATTTTTTTTTTGTTGTGTGTTTTTTTTCTCCACAAATACTGTGCCTAAAATGTGCTTCAGAAGATTGCAGACCTAGAAAGTTCCCCGAGAAATCCTTGGTTTTAGCTTCTACCACTGTCCTTTTGGTACTTGAAACTTTTTAAGACAGAAATTGCATATCTTCCTTAATAATCCTTTCTATTGTTTTATTATAATAAATAATATAATAAATAATAAATAAATACAGAGATAATAAATAATAGAGAAAATTTTGTTTCCATATTCAATCTAAAACCCTTTAATTTCAGCCAGCATTTTCTTTTCCAAACTTTGAACTAGTAAAAGGTCATGTCCTTGGTCTCATTATCTCTTTCTTCATGATCTCTGTCCATCAAAGCCTCATGGCAATTTTTCTAAAAAATAAAGCTTACATCACTCCCCTAGCTTAAAAAGAAAATAAAAAAAGAATACCCACTATGGTTTTCCTATTACTTATACTGCAGAATTTGAGCACTGGCAGTCCATCTGTCAAAATCACGATTCACTTATGTTTACTGACACAGAATTTTTAAAAAATTAATTTTGATGCCTCCAATTCACTACAATCGTCATCTCTCTCTGTTTTAAGTACCCACTTGCTTCATTCATTTCTGTGCACTCTACCTGACAGCTGGAAGCATCTGAATTTTCAAGCCCTACATTATATGATAAAGTTCACATTCTTTACTATGGCATGCAAGAGGAGAGATGCTCAGAAAATGAACAATCAGCACTGCCTGACCTTAGTGCTGGAGTGGTCCTAGAGGCCTCCTTCAAGCTGCCAACTCTTTAACTGCTGAATCACTGGGTGTGAGGACTTCTGGGAGATGCAACAGGACAATAGAGGGGAGGGGGTCTCAGATCAGTGGCTATTTATCAACCAATTTGGAACTATTTCAACATTCTCACAACTCACAGAGCCTTGTTCTGACAGAATGTCTAGCTCTGTATGAGCTGTTCCCAATAATACTGCCCCACAGTGACAACTTGGCCATTCTTCATCACCTCTCATTGTAAAGTGAGTGCCTGTCACACTCACTAACACACCAAGCATTTTTCATAGCAAATATGCTCATCCCTGACTTCTCTCTGCTCTGCCCAGATGCCTTCTCTCCCTACCTGCCTGGTAGATACTTAATAGTTCTTTACAATGACACTCCTATTGCCTATGTCAACTCTTCTACAGTCAAAGGTGTGGCCTCAGAGAGGCTTTAAATGTGCCTTTATAAGTTTTCTTCTCTTTTTTTAATTTAAATTCAATTAGCCAATGTATAATACATCATTAGTTTTTGGTATAATGTTCAATGATTCATTAGTTGTGAATAACATGCAGTGCTCTAAGATATAAGTTTTCACTGGCCATGGTAATTATTTGTCAATCCTCCTCTTCCAATGGACAGTGTTTAGACTTAATAACTCTAGGACCCACATGGGATGAGGACCCTATCTAATGTTTGTTGAATGAATGAATGAATGAATGAAAGTTACTAATGAACATTTTCTAAGCTAAGTAGCCCTGATCCCTTCATTTTTCTTTATCTGTAAAGTGGAGTTAACTCACTAGATGACCCCTAATAATTTCTTTCTGCTTTAAAACCCAAGAATTTACCAGTCTTGGGCAAAAACTGTGTAATACTGAGGCTGGATATATTCAATATAAATAAAAGATTAAAAAGATAAACAAATCTTTTCAGATTGGTTCTGTACTTTTGTCAATAACCATTTCATGGACCAACTGGAGATGATTATGGAGTGATTGGAAAGAGGTCAAATATCAGTCTATATATGAAACAATGTCCAATTGCTATATTCCAAAATACTAAAAAAAGAAGGGCAACCTAAAGTGGGAACCAGAAAAATTACTTAGTTTGCAACAGTGGAGACCTTTTATTTTAAACTAAAGCAGTCTGAAGCCAAAAGAGCTAAGTACTGACAGAATACCAGCCAGATAATTTTGTTGCTTAGATAAATTTCAACTTGCTTGGTAGAATACCCCAAAGGTAATAGCAGATATATATCTGGTATCCTAGTTCTTCAGGAACTTTCTTACAGCTGAAAAGACAAAGTAGCTTCTGGTATTATAACAATATTTTTTTAAAAACATATAGGAAAAGAAAAATAGTAATGAAAAGATAGCACAGGTCCTTGGATTAGAAGGAAAAATACATGTAAGGTCTGTGGTAGCTGAGAAGGCTCACTATTTGAAATGAAAGTTCATGATATTTCATTATTATAAGAAGTACAAAAAAAAAAGCAAAAGGTAGGTGTGTGTATTTTTGACATAAGAGTTCCTACCATAAACATAACTGAGGAAAGTTTACAACCTCTCAAATTACTGAGAATAAACTAGCAATCTAATAAAGAATTAGTAACCACTAAGTCACGGGGGTAAGTGATGCAGCATAAGGAATATAGTCAATAATATTGTTTAAGAGTGTCAGGGTGACAGATGGTAGCTACACTTAG